AAATGAAAAGTGGACCTTTTCAATAGGAGGTGTAACTTCTTTCTCTTCTTCATTGAATTCTTTATTTGGACTTTGGCAGACGGTTGTTGATGGTATTTTACATGGTCTAGCGTTTGCTGACTGAGCAAGCTTGCGTTTCAGCTCAGTTCTCTGCACTTTCCCCCATCCCCTCCTCCCCTATGACTATGAATGTCACTTCCCTGCCACCAGGTGACTCTTTGGGATGTGTTTAAAGCTTGCACTTACCTAGATTTTAATGAATCTGACAGAAGCCCATTTAACTGTTACAGTGACATAATCGAGCTTTTGGCTGTGTTTTCACGGATTATTATACTGAAAGAAAAAATGAAAACAAATGTTTCTTTTTTGTAAACCTTAAAAAAAAATTGAGAGTATTAACGTAACGGAGAGTCCCCTGATGATCGTTGTTGCTTGTCTTTGTAATAAGATGTTTAGAGTGTGTGACTAGAGTATGTGAGTAGAGTCCTATCCCACGAAAAAGTCGCTGTCTCCCATGCCGCCTTCTCTGTTTTGGATATGAGCTAGGCCAGGCTTTCTTCAGTGGTCTCCCATCTCCTTTCTTTCTTTCTGTTTTGACCATGAAAAGCTCCTGAATTTCTACTAACCTTTGTTTTAGAAGCCAGTTTTAGGTCACTGATTGCAGCCATGAAATTAAAAGACACTTACTCCTTGGAAGGAAAGTTATGACCAACCTAGACAGCATATTTAAAAGTAGAGACGTTACTTTGCCAACAAAGGTCCGTCTAGTCAAGGCTATGGTTTTTCCAGTGGTCATATATGGATGTGAGTGTTGGACTGTAAAGAAGGCTGAGCACCGAAGAATTGATGCTTTTGAACTCTGGCATTGGAGAAGACTCTTGAGAGTCCCTTGGACTGCAAGGAGATCCAACCAGTCCATCCTAAAGGAGATCAGTCCTGGGTGTTCATTGGCAGGACTGATGTGGAAGCTGAAATTCCAATACTTTGGCCACCTCCTGTGAAGAGTTGACTCATTGGAAAAGGCCCTGATGCTGGGAAGGATTGAGGGCAGGAGGAGAAGGGGACGACAGAGGATGAGATGGCTGGATGGCATCACCGACTCGATGGGCATGGGTTTGGGTAGACTCTGGGAGTTGGTGATGGACAGGGAGGCCTGGCGTGCTGCAATTCATGGGGTCGCAAAGAGTCGGACATGACAGCGACTGAACTGAACTAAGAGTTTTGATCCATTCTGCAAATATTGACTGAATCTTAACTGTGTGTTTAGCCCTGTGCTTAAGGTAGGGAGTTGATCTAGATGTCCATTCTATCTCTTCTTGCCTACAGGAGGCTTGCGGTCTGTGTGTGGAAAAGATGTGTTCATGAATATTTCTATTTACATAAAATGCTAAGTTAGGTTGAGAGGCTGGAGAGTGGAGGGAGGACCCGTGCAGCTCCTGGGGTGTGGGTGGGAGGGTGTCAGACAGGACTGAGGGCCCCCCATGCCCTCAACAGGGCTCTGAAAGGTAGGCAGGTGTCAGGTGCTCTTGAGGGCTGGCAGGCTGTCTGGTTGGGCTGGTGGGCGTTGCCCAGGCCTCTTTGCATTCCATTTGCAGTTGAGTGTTAGGGAGCCCTTAGGAGTCTGGAGCGGGAGAGTGACCCACCAAGGTCCAACAGCCTATTGGCTGTTTTGAGGGCGATAAGAGGAAGGCTGAGGCAGAAATTCAGGCGAGAAGAGTGGGGCTCCCGGCTCAGGGTGGTGGTGGGTGAGCGAGGGGAGGAGGTGGCACGAGGGGAGCTCATAGAGCTGGCTCCAGCGTCAGGGAGGAGCCGGACTGTGTGTGCCTGTGCCTGGTGTGGGGTTGACATGCTGAGTCCTGAGTGGACCCAGAACGGAAGCCCTGGCGGCGGGAGGCGGCTGCTTTTGCAGCCCCCTGGGGGAGGTACAGCCTTCTCCACCTCGGCCCCGCCGGGGCCAGTCCCCAAGCTCCAGAAGGGTTGTGGAAGGAAGGAGTGTGGCGGGTTTAGTCGTGCGTGTCAGTGACTTTGCTGTCAGGACAGAGCTCTCAGGCGGTCAAGGGCCAGGCAGGCCTGGTATGACTCTGGACTCAGCCATGCCCGAGTGATCGTGAGCACGTTACTGAACCTTTCTGTTTCCTTTTCTGCACATGGAGGGTAACAGTCCTGTCTCTTGGGGTGGAATATGGTTATTCGTATTAGCTGAGTGAATTAAGGTATGTTAACATCTACCCCAGAACCTGGAGTGCACCTGTGTTAGATGCCCCTCAGATGTTGGCTGTTGTCACAGAGAGTGTAGCTGTGAGCTGGCAGTTGGCAGAAAAGGAATGCTGAGTTGGGGTGAAGGGACAGTAGCTTTGGGAGTGCTTGAGGGCCTTGGCCCCAAGGTGGAGAGCAAGTCGGGGTGAGGCTCCTGGTGAGGAGTGGGGAGAGGAGCACAGAAGGGGCAGGGGGACCAGGTCAGGGAGGCGGCGGGGGGGGGATCGGGGGAGCTCAGTGTCCCGTGTCCCAGGCGAGGAGGCCGCCTCAGGACGTGGGGAGGAAGTTGGCAGCGTCCGATTCGGAGAGATCAGGCAGGCTGAGAACTGAGGCTGGGTGCTGAGTTTGGTTGTCGGAGAAGATGCCCACCAGCCCTGGGGCAAGTCATGGGAGGGGGGAATGTCACGGGAGGGGGAGGTCACGGGAGGGCAGCAGCCAGGTGATCGTACTGAGAGCATCTCGGGGGCAGGGAAGGTTCTGTTGGGTGAGAGTATCGGTAGATTCCGGGGTTAAAAGCTGGATTTCTAAAATAAAGACAGTATGGCTTTAAGTTGGTTCTAGCAAACTAACGTGTAGGCTGTGGGTCCAAGACCACCATGCTGTCCGTGAGAACCGCCCCCTGGGTTTGGGTGCTCGGTCTTTGAGGCCCTGTGTGGCGGCAGCAATGACGTGACCTGTGCAGTGATGCACGGATCAAGTGTAAGATTGCCTTGTGATAACAGATACATACTGGTAGGCTTGTTACCATTAATGTAGTAAGATACAGTGAACGCTTACTGAGCACTTACTGAGGGGCAGCAGTATTACTCACACAGGCTTTGCATGAGTTGCATGTTGAAGCCTCCCGCCAGCTCTGTGAGGGGCGAACGCTGTTCCTCTCACCAGGCTGAGGGGCTGGGCTCACTCGTGTGCCCGGGCTTACACCGCGGGTCCGTGGTGGAGCCAGGCTGTGGTAGCCTGCACTGTGGCTGTGGGACCCGTGCTGCAAACAGCCATCCTCTGCTGCTTCCTCATGTTGGCTGAATTGTTACTGGCTGGCCGTTGGCATCGGGCATCATGTCTGATGAATCAGGGGTCTGGGGGGCGGGCTGGGTGTGGGGAAGGCTGGTGGGAGCTGACTGAGGCAGCGTTCCAGGCAGGGTGGGCGGGGCTGGGATCACAGAGGCACAGGTGGGGGCTCCCCAGGGCAGAGCTATGCCGCTTGCTCTCGGGGAGATGAGAGAGGGGCAGTGAGTGCTGAGAAAGGCCCTCAGTGGCAGGGATCTTACAGGAGTGCGAGAAGGCTGGCACGTTTTCAGAGGTGTTTTGCAGTGAGGGAGATCACCAGCGTCTGGAGAGCTTTGCTGTGGGACTTTAGGAATTGTCTCCCACTGCTTGTTTGACTAGACTTTGTCCTACTGGAGAAAAGGGGCTGGATGAGCTCACGTTCGTTGGAGGGACTGATGCTGAAGCTGAAGCTCCAATACTTTGGCCACCTGATGTGAAGAGTGGACTCATTAGAAAAGACCCTGATGCTGGGAAAGATGGAGGGCAGGAGAAGGGGACGAGAGAGGATGAGGTGGCTGGATGGCATCACCAACTCGATGGACATGAGTTTGAGTAAGCTCCGGGAGTTGGTGATGGACAGGGAGGCCTGGTGTGCTGCGGTTCATGGGGTGGCAAAGAGGTGGACACAACTGAGCGACTGAACTGAAACAGGCTCACATTAGCAGGGGCGGCCCCCTGACCTTGACAGAGCCCCGGGGCACCCCCTGGTGGAGCTGAGAAGGTAATACAGGCAGAAAGGCTGTGTTTGGACCCCTGCTGCTGATGGGATTTGCCGCCAGAAGTGGAGCGGCAATCTTAGGAGGCGGGGAGAGTCTTACTGTCTTCTCTCTGCTGTGGTGAAAAAGTCCCAGCTCTGGGAGGAGGAGAAGAGACCCAAAGACGGAAGAAACGAGGAATGTCGGAAGCAGAACCAAGTGGAGCTTGAGGAATGTGGGGTATGGATGACACTGAACTGAAGAGGGCCTGACTCAGGCCTGTTTAGAGTTTTCTGGAAACCAGACACGTCATTTAAAACAGTGCTTCTCCAGCGACCTGTAGCAAAAGTCTGTTTTTGTTGCTGTTTGAAGGTTGTGAACTGTTTATATCTTGTAAAATATAATAAAAATGAACTGGAAAAGATGAAGAAAGCAAAGACACAGGGAGTACACATCCAATTTGTTGTCTGTTGTCAGAGTCAACAGAAACACAGTTTACTCTTCGAAATTGCTAAACAAAAAGTTTCTAAGTGTTTGCTTTTCATTTCTGAAGTCAGCTTGACTTGGACTTTGGCAGGCTCAGAACAAACACAGGCTTGCGGCTGACCGTGGCGCTCATTAACGTGCTTGCCCCAGAGCAGTCGGGTGGCAGGCAGGGCCTCACGGGCTGGGGGGTGGGGGATGCTCTTTCCAGAGCCCCCAGCCCGGTGCTGGCACACGCTGCACACTCAGCAAATACACGCCTGTCAAGCAGTCCCCTTAAGAGACAGTTTTTATATGCAGAATAAAATTCAGTGAGTAGGATAGCAAGTCTCCCAAAGTAGTTGAAATTCGTTCATCTGGTGATAGGCAGAATTCTGAAGCAAAGTATGTTTTACCTTGTTTTGCAATTTTTGAAAACCACATCTTTGTAGATTAAAAAAAAAATGTAGTTACTAGAAAGCCACTTTGTTTCTGAGTTGAGCGCCCCTAACCTCAGTCAGCATCGTCTTTTGTTTCCAGGTCGTTTCCGCAGCCAAGGTGTGTGGAGTGGCCAGCGAGTCCCCTTCGGTGAAGAGGCTCCGCCTGCTCGTTGCCGATAAAGACTTTTCTTTTAAGGCCGGCCAGTGGTAAGTGGCTCTTCTGTGTCCTCAGCGTGAGTGGTCAAGGTGCCATCAGACGCCAGAGCTGCTTTTTCCTTCTAGAAAGGACTTCTGTGACTACTTTTTCTCCTGGGGAAGAATTATTCTAGGGCGTCTCCCTTCAGCCTGATACTCTTCCTGGCACGGAGAACCTGATTACTTTCCTAGCCTCAGGGCCCCCCTTGGTTCTGAGCCTTGGAGCCTCTCAGCGTAGTTGAAAGTTGCTTCCTTGAGTTTTCCAGAGGGAGACAAGAGCGGCTAGTTGTAGTCCGGACCCTGTAACTCTGACAGAGATTCTCTTCTGCAGGACTGACTGCCGACAGAATGCACTGCAGTCGTCCCCTCTGCTTCACTTACGTGTCGTTGTGGGTGGATACATTTTTTAAAAATCAGCCTTTATGTCAAATGCCTAGTAAATGCATGAGTCTGAAACTGGTTATGGCAACCAGTCTCCTTACAGAAGTGTCCGCCGTCTCGCCTGAATTCTGCAGCCCTCGCACCTTGTCTGGGTTGAGTTGAAATATCTTGCTTAATTTGTTATCAGAACATCCCCCCAATCGGACCCAGCCCGCATCACGGTCATGACCGAGGGCTGGTCATTGTGCTGATGGGAGCAGCCCAGCTGTCCCAGTGTTCCCGCGAAGGGCCTCACTGAGCGGCTCTGGAAGTTGGATCGTAAACGCAACCCACATTTCCTTAGGAAAGGTGTGTTTGGGTGTCTGTTTCCTTTATTTAAATCCAGCATTCATTTCTAAATGAGTTTCTGGCATGTCAATCTTGGTCGTCTTTCTTAGGAGCTACTTGACTAATTTTGGCAGTCCATCTGGAAATGTGGTTTTGTTAGGAGGAGGATGTGTGATAATAGCAAGAGTTAGCAGGCTTGTGTTAATAGTTTGCTTTGAATATAGAACCAGAAAACAAGATGCTGATTGCAATAATTTGCGCTTGTGAAGCAATTTACTGCAATCTTTGCACATGTTCGGTGATACATATTAAGTGCATTTGGGCTGTTTTGAGGGTGGGGGCGGTTGGCAACGTTTTTACCCTTCAAAACTAGTTTAGCAGTTATTGCCTTGAAAAGTGCAAACTTCAATTACGAGACTCTGTCTTCCGGCGCTTCCCTTCCGGGGAGGTGTCTGTGTTCTGTGCGCAGCGTTCTCTGTGTGCCTTCCACTTGGAATGGTGCCGACGCTGACCCCGGTGTCCCGATTAGAGAAAGCCTGTGCCTGGGTTATCCTGCTGCTCCCGCGGTGCGCGTGTGAGTATGGTAGCACGTGCAAACTGTAGTTATCTCCTAAGAAAACGGCATTGTCTAGCGCTGTGCACAGATTAGGGTCTCCCCGTGCGCCTCGGTGGAAGACTCCTCAGGGCGGGTGGTGCATAGGCGGTGTCACTGAATGGGTCTGGTTAGCCCGTCCCTGTGGGCGCTGGTTCAGTGCGCGCTGGGCAGAGGGCCGGCGTGGGGCGGGGGTCAGCCCCAGCTGGTCTATGTTCCCTGCCAGGCGAGTCCGTCACTCGTGCCTGGCGTCCGGACCACTTCTGTAAAAGTCTGCTGCCTTAACACCGCCTCTCCGCACAGCTCTGGACGCTGTGAGCCCTCTGGCTGTGTGAGGTGGTGGGCACCGCTCCGTTGGCCCTGTTGCCGGGATGGCCCTCTCGGCCCTCACCCCACGTGGCACTCGGGGGGGCGGGAGGGAGAGTGGATGTGGCTGCCATGAGCTTGTGGGGTCAGGGTGATCGGAGTGAGAGCAGCTGGAGGCGAAGGGCAGGGCGCCCGCTGGGCCGTGATCCACTACCCATGTCCCAGGACTTGTGAGCGGCGGCCCCCGCTGACGCCTGCCAGACTCCGAGGGGAGGTGCAAAGCCACCTCTGAGTGCATGCTTTGCGGCCTTGGGCCCCGACCCCCGGGTGGACGCTCCAGCCTGGACCAGGATGGTCTCCCGGGGCTGTTCGCTGCTGCGGTGCATTCTTCCTGACCCTCTGGAGGAGACAGCTTCCTGTACTGGGAGACCGCTGTCAGAGCTCACGCCATCCCATCCAGAGAGAAAGGCTGAAAGGGAGAATTCCTTCTGACCCGTTTCCCGCACGAGCAGGGCTGACCCTTCGGGGCTTCTCCCACCAGGAGCTCATGGCTTAGCACGCAGTTCCCTGGGGAGTCCTGCGCTGGCCCTCGCTCGGCGCTCCCCTGACAGAGGAGGGGAAGGATGGAGCTGGGCGTGGCCCCAGCCGTCTCCCCTCGCCCAAGAGTGCGCGGGGCTGCCAGGTTCAGGTGCTGTGGGCGGGTCCGTCCGTCCCAGGGGCTGTGTCACACGGCCCAGTCTGCCGCTCTGCCTTCCCACTCCCACCTGCCGCTCTCCCTGCCCACCTGCTGGCTCTGCGAGGTGGGGGCTTCCTTTTTGCTCTGGGCTTCGGTTTCCAGGTCCTCGAGGAGGGGAGAGTAACACGTCGGTGCTGGAGGATGTCAGGCATTTGGCACGGTTCCTGATGTTTCCTTTGTGCATGTTTTTGGTGTCTGTTGTGGCCAGTGCTTTGCTAGGCCGCCAGAGAGCACCTGTGCTGGTGAGGTCCTCTGAGGAGATCCGTGAGGTCCCGGGGACAGGCTGAGCGCCTCGCCGGCCTCCCCAGCACCGAGGCCGCCGTGGGGAGAGCAGCCGGCCTGTGAGGAGTGGGCGGGCGCACGCCGCCGCTGCTCGCCGCACGCCCGGGCTGTGTGCACAGCACACCGGGGAGCAGGCAGCGCGTTTCTGAGTGGGGAAGCTGTGCTTCTGACTTCATACGAGATAGCAGGATTTCATGCTTGAAAGTGCTCGGGGTAGTGAGGTGAGAGGAGCCAGGTTAGAGAGCTGGGACTCTGCCCCGCCTGCCAGCAGGGCCGCTGCGCTGCAGACGTGAGCACTAGGCATCGGCCGACTCACAGGACCCCGTGGGGGAGGTGCCGCGTTCCTGGGAGTCTTTGTGCAGACGGTGTCCCCCTCCGCTGCCTGTCTGATGAGCACTGTCTTTCAAGACTCCTCTGTGAAGTCTTTCCTGATTCCTCCATCCCTGGTGGAATTAACTTATTTTTCCTCTCCTCCCCATGTCCCTTCCACCCCCAAGCAGATTTAAAAAAAAAAGAAAGTGCAGTAGCTTTATTAGTATTTTCCTGATAAAATTGGGATCACACCTGTTGGAGCTAAGTAGAAGCCTGCACTGAGTGTGGTACTTGCAGACCCATCTCAAGTGAGGAACGTTCTCCCCCAAGCTGATTTTTGTCATAGCCCTGCTGCTTTGCTGACTAGACTAGTGCGCAGTCGTGTCTGACTCTCCGCGACCCTTTGAACTCCGGCCCACCAGGCTCCTCTGTCCGTGGCATTCTCTGGGCAGGAACACTGGAGTGGGTTGCCATTTCCTCCTCCAGAGGGTCTTCCCGACCCAGGGATCGGTTCAGACCCAAGGAGTCTCCTGTGTCGCCTTTATTTCAGGCAGATTCTTTCCCTGCTGAGCCCTCAGGTTAATCTTCCTCCCGTTAGGGAGGTTTGTGAGGGCGGGAACCAAGACAGACTTAAATCTTTACCGCCAGCACCAGCCTCTGTGCCTGTACATGGTCAGCAGATGCTGTCCGTCGTGTGTGTGGAAGAGGGCAGCTGAGAGTTTGGGATCTCAGGGTGAAGCATCCTTAGCGCCAGCACCAGCCTCCGTGCCTGTACATGGTCAGCAGATGCTGTCCGTCGTGTGTGCGGAGCCGGGCAGCTGAGAGCTGGGATCTGAGGGTGAAGCATGGTCACTGGGCTGTGGCTCGTGTGCCTGCTGTGTGCTGGGCCCTGGGGCGGGACAGGGCTGCCAGGTGTCACCTTAGACATGGATATGCGTGCTTTGCTGCAGAACGAGGCCCTTTCTCTCTGCTCTTCATGTACTCACTGTGAAGGACATCATTTTTAACAGGGTGTGTGTGTGTGTGTGTGTGTGTGTCCAAAACTTTTTCTTTCTTGGAAAGATGTTTTACTAAATATGTATTGTGCATCTTTTCTTAAGCCTATTCAGATGAGGTTCTTCTGTAGCATTTCGTGAAGGAGTCCTTTTTCCTAAAGGTGGAGGGTTTCCAGAGTTACTGGAGAAGACGGATTCCCTGTCAGTTACCTGAGAAAAAGGTCTGTATCATCATCAAGCAGCAGAGGGTGCTATAGTTCAGGAAATGAAGCAGCAAAAAATAGCTCAGATTAATTTTTTTAAACACAGACCCTTTGGAAATGCCATTCACCTCTTCTCTGAAAGCATATAGCAGCAGTGTTAGTAAGTGTTAACTATAGTCTTTTAAAATTTGTATCTTGTCTGAAATGGAAAGGAAATTAAAGTGTTCATGGGAAAGAAGGAAGTAAATACAGGCGGAAATAACCTGGGGACCTTTTCTGGAGCACTTCTTGCCCAGAACTTGTTTTCTAAGGCTATAAAAAATGACCAGATACCTAAGGCCAGAGTTGAGAAGAGAACAGTTTCTAAGGCCATAGATCAGATTAGGAGAGGACATCAAGTGCTTTTTCCTCCCAGGGGCGGGGCATGAGACTGTTGCCTTTTTTATTATACTGTCTGTTCTTCGCTGGCTGAGGAGCAGCTCTGATGGGTACATGAGTTTCCTGGATGTGGGGATGGGAGTTCCCTGTGGTTCTCAGTTTCTAGTAGATTTCTCTTTCCTTGGTATGTGACTTGATTTATTGCATTTCCTAGCACCCTCACCCAATAAAAAGTTTGTGGCCTGCAATTATTGATGGCTTGAAACTCACATGAGTTCTCCACTCTAGGAGAATGCTTAGAAGTGAAGAAGGCAACTTGAGATTGTCAGAATTTAGGAGGCTGCATCACCTATTTAATTGAGTTGGTCAAATGCCAGCAAAAGAGTTTTTGTTGCCTTCTTTTTCACATTTAAGAAACTGTTTTATTAAGATAAATGTATCATAAAATTCACCCATTTAAAGGGTACAGTTCAGTGATTTCTAGTATATTCACATAATTGAATTCACAATGTATTCTAGAATTGTATAGTGATCAGCCAGTCAACTTTCAGAACATTCTCATCATCCCAGAAAGAAGCACTGCCCTGAATATCTTTCGCCCCCCTCCTCACCCTTAGGCAGCCACTGTTCTGGTTTCTGTCTTCTGTGGCTTTCCTGTTCTGGACACTGTGTCAGTGGAACTATGGAGTGTGCGTCTGTTTTGTGACCAGCTTCTTTCACTTCCTTGACTTCCCTGCTGGCTCAGGCGGTAGAGTCTGCCTGCAGCGCGGAGACCCGGTTCAGTCCCTGGCTGGGGAAGATCTCCTAGAGAAGCAAATGGCGCCCCACTCCAGTACTCTTGCCTGGAAAATCCCACGGACAGAGGAGCCTGGCAGGCTACAGTCCATGGGGTCGCAGAGTCGGACACGACTGAGCGACTTCACTTCTTTCACTTAACGCGTCTGTGTGTGGCATGCATCAGTATTTCATTCCATCCTGTGAATGTACCGCCTTTGTTTCCATATTCATCAGTTGGTGAACATTTAGGTTGTTTTGGAACTTTAGGCTGTTAGCAATAATGCTGCTGTGAACATTCATGTACCTATTTTAAGTGGATACATGTTTTCTTTTTTCTTTAGCATATATCTCAGAGTAGAACTGCTGGTCACATCTTAACATTTTCAGGCACTGCCAAATTGTTCTTTAAAGTAGCAAGGCCATTTTACATTCCCATAAGCAGTGTATAAAGGTTCCAATTTCTCCAGATCCTAACACTTGCCACTCTCTTTTTGATCAGCCATCCGTCCAGGTGAGTGTGACGGGATGGTTCATTGTGATTTTGATTCACATTTCCCTAATAACAGATGAGGTTGAGCGTTTTCTCATGTACTTATTATCCATTTATGTATCTTCTTTGGAGAAGTGCTTGTCCAAATCCTTTGCCCACTTTTAAAGTGTGATTCTATGTGTTTTTTTGGCTGTGCTGGGGCTTTGTTGCTGCGTGGACTTCTGTCTAGTTTGGGGAGCAGGGGCTCCTGGTTGTGGTGCGTGCGTTTCTCGTCGCGGAGGCTTCTCTTGTTGTGGGGCGCGGGCTCCGGGTGTGGGCTCAGGAGCTCTGGCTCCCAGGCCCAAGGTTGGGGCACACAGGCTTAGTTGCTCCTTGGCCTGTGGGATCTTCCCAGACCAACGTCTCCTGCACCGGCGGGCAGATCCGTTACCACGGAGCCGCCAGGGAGGCCTCCTTTGCCCATTCTTTGAATTTTCTTTTTATTACTATATTCTGTATACAAATTACTTGTTAGATACATGATTCAAAAATATTTTCTCCCATTCCAAGGGTCATCTTTTCACTGTCTGATGGTGTGGACTACACATAAGTGTGTGGCACAGAGTTTTTTGTTTTATGCAGTCTAGTTTCTCCAGCTTTTCTTTGACCTCTGTGTTTTAGTGTTGTTTCTAAGTAACTGGCCATGAAGAGGTACTCTTGTGTAAGTCTGAGTTTATAATCTTAGTGTTTATATTAGGTCTGTGGTCTAACTGGAGTTAACCTTTGTGTATGGTATGAGGTAGGGATCCAGCTTTATTCTTTTCTGGTTCCTATTCAGTTGTCCTTTTTTTTTTAAATTGAAGTATAGTTGATTTTCAGTGTTGTATTAGTTTCTGGTGTACAGCAAAGTGATTTGGTTATATATGTGTGTATGTGTTATTACTCCTTTTCAGATTCTTTTTCCTTTATAGATTATTATAAAACCATCACCACTTACTGAAAAGACTCTTCTTTTGCATTAAATTGTGTTGGTAGCCTTGTTGAAAATCAGTTGACCAAAAATAAACTAAGTTTATTTTTTGATTCTCAGTCTTTTGCCATTGATACCTATGCCTGTCCTAACACGAGTATCACAGTGTCTTCATTATTGTGATTTAAAATAATTTTGAAATCAGAAGGTGTGAATCCTCCAAATTTATTCTTCTTTTTAAAGATTATTTTGATGATTCTACGTTCCTTGAATTTCATATCAGTTTGTGATCAACTTATCAAAGAAATCAGCTAGGGTTTGGTAGGTATTGTATTAAATCTGTGGATCAGTTTGGGAACTGTTGCCGTCTTACCAGTATTAAGTCTTCCAGCCCATGAGTGTAAGAGGCCTTTCTGTTTATTCAAATCTCTTTCTGTTTATTCAGATCTCTTTCTGTTTATTCAGATCTCTTTCTGTTTACTTAGATCTTCTTTCTGTTTATTCAGATCTCTTTCTGTTTATTCAGATCTCTTTCTGTTTATTTAGATCTCTTTCTGTTTATTCAGATCTCTTTCTGTTTATTTAGATCTCTTTCTGTTTATTTATTTAGATCTCTTTCTGTTTATTCAGATCTCTTTCTGTTTATTCAGATCTCTTTCTGTTTATTCAGATTTCTTTCTGTTTATTCAGATCTCTGTTTATTCAGATCTCTTTCTGTTTACTTAGATCTTCTTTCTGTTTATTCAGATCTCTTTTTGTTTATTCAGATCTCTTTCTGTTTATTTAGATCTCTTTCTGTTTATTCAGATCTCTTTCTGTTTATTTAGATCTCTTTGTTTATTCAGATCTCTTTCTGTTTATTTAGATCTCTTTGTTTATTCAGATCTCTTTCTGTTTATTCAGATCTCTTTCTGTTTATTTAGATCTCTTTGTTTATTCAGATCTCTTTCTGTTTATTCAGATCTCTTTCTGTTGATTTAGATCTCTTTCTGTTTATTTATTTAGATCTCTCTCTGTTTATTCAGATCTCTTTCTGTTTATTCAGATCTCTTTCTGTTTATTTAGATCTCTTCTGTTTATTTAGATCTCTTTGATTTTTTTAATAATGTAGTTTTTAGTGTACAAGTCTTACACTTGTTTTGTGAAGTTTATTCCCAATTACTTTATTACTTTATTATAAGTAGGACTATTTTTCTTAATTTCACATTTAGATTGTTCATTGCTAGTGGGTAGAAATACAGTTGGTTTTTATTATTAATTTTATATTATGCAACTTTATTTGAAGTTATTTTTTTAGTTCTTATATATTTATAGCAAATTCATTAGGGTTTTCTATATATAATATTATGTCATCTGCAACTTCTTTCTCTTCAGTCTGGATGCCTCTTATTTCATTTTCTTGCTTAATTGCCTTGGCTAGAATGTCTAGTACAGTGTTGAGTAGAATTGGTCAGAGCAGACATTTTTGTCTTGTTTCTCTTCTTATGGGGAATTTTAAGCCTTTCAGGGTTAAATATGATTAGATATTTTGTAATTTTCTTTATTAGGCTGAGGAAATTACCATTTATTCCTGGTTTGTTGCATATATTTATTTTGTAAGGGTGTTGAATTTTGTCAAATGCCATTTTTGCATCTGTCGAGATGATCACATGGATTTTGTCTTTTAATGTGTTAAGTGGTTTAATTCATTGATGATTTTCATATGTTGAACCAATGTTCCTGTGGATTTTGCATCTGCATTCATAACAAATGTTGAGCTGTAGTTTGTTTTCTTGTGATAGCTTTGTCTGGCTTTGGTGTTAGAATAATACTGACATGATAGAGTGAATTGGAAAGTGTTTTTTTCTGTTTTGGGGGGAAGTATTTGTGAAAGATAAGCATTAATTCTTCTTCAAATGTTTAACAGAGTTTACCTCTGCTGCATCTGGACTTATCCTTGTGGGAAATTTTTAAATTACACTAATTCAGTCCATTTATTATGGATCTGTTCAGATTTTCTGTTTCTTCTAGAGTCCAGTTTGGCAGTTTGTGTTTTTCTAGGAACGCATCCATTTCATCTGAGTTAGCCAGATTTTTGTCTTACAGTTATTCATAGGATTCCTTTATAATCTTTTTTATTTTTTTGGTAAAGTTGGTGATAATATCCCATCTTTCATTCTTGGTTTTAGTAATTTTATTTTTTCTCCTTTTTTCTTAGTCATTCTAGCTAAAAGCTTGTCAGTTTTGTTTACCTTGTTACCCACTGTAAAGCGTTAATGATAGTCAATTTATTTGCCTTTCCTTTTAGGGTTGATTTCTTTATCCCAGGAGTCTCTGTGGTTGGTGGGTTCTCAATATGCTCCAGCCCTAGACTGCTGGAACAAGAGAGAATGATAGAACTGGCAGTGAAACATGCAAACCACCCTCCTGCTCTCTGGATTCACAATCAGGTGAGCAAACCTCTATTTAAACTTGGAGATCTGGGATCTGTGTCTCACAAAATTCAGCTCACTTAATCCACCTAAGGAACCTAGGCTTGGGTGCAAAGGGTCCACACTCACAAAGAGCTCCCTTCCAGCCAGAACTCAGGCTCCAGAAGGGGTGCAGGCGCAGCATGTTTGTTTGTTTGTTTATTACTTTTTGGTCTTGCCACGTGGCGTGTGGGCTCCTGGCTCCCTGACAAGGGAAAGAACATGCACCTCATGCAGTGGAAGGGTGGAGTCTTAACCCCGGGACCACCAGGGAAGTCCCCAAGAAGCGGAATCGTTCTGATGCACTAAAGGATGATGCAAGGATACCCTGGGGTCTGGAAATTCCTTCTGGGCCAGCAAACAGTATTCAGTTGAATCCTACTTTAGACTTAAAGCATTTTATTTTATATGTAAGGTTTTGAAAATTGGCTCTCTGGGTGTCTTGTCAGTGGCGATTCTATAAATCAGATTATTTTGTCCTCACTGTCCTAAATGAAGGGAATTAAGCTACCATTCTTTCATTATTTGGGGGGGAAACGATCTCTGATTACATACTTTTCCTGCCCAGACCTGAGCACTGCTAAACCCGTGGTGCGATTGCCTCTCCATTTCAGTCTCTGGGAAGCTCCGCACTCATGACTCTGTGGAGTTTGCATTTGCCGCTAATAACTCACGGTACACGGTGGGGCTCAGCACGGCCCTATGCGGCTCCACACTACCTGCTAGAATTCTAATCATAAAGAGTGAGCTCAGAAAAGATCTGTCTTCTTGCTTTTTGATCCTGTCTTTTTTTTTTAACTGCCCTCCCCTTCATTTCTGGAGTGTGCCTTCTTTACTTAGCAACAGTCTACATCCCATCCCAGGCACTTTCTTCTCCTCTCTACCAGAAAGGAGAATGGGTGTGTGCCTACTCAGTCCTTAAATCTTGTCTGACTCTTTGCACCCCGTGGACTATAGCCCACCCACCAGGCTCCCCTGTCCATGGGATTTTCCAGGCAAGAATACTAGAGTAGGTTGCCATTTCCTCCTTGAGGGGATCTTCCTGACCCAGGGACTGTACCTGGATATCCTGCGTTAGCAGGTGGATCCTTCACCACTGAGCCAGCTGAGCTCACAAAACAGAGCGCTGTGCTGCAAATACTGCAGGTACAGACAGACTGATTTTGAAATTTATATGGAAGAGAAAAGAAACTAGGATGGCGAAAGCAGTTTTGAAAAAGAAGCCTAAAGTATGAGGAATCATATTGCTCAAATTTAAGATTAAAATAAGGCTACAATAATCAGTACAGTGTAGTATTGGTGAAGGAATAGGCATACAGATCAAAGGGACAAATTAAGGTGTTCAGAAATAGACTGACACATACAACCTTTTGAACTTTGACAAAGGTGCTAAAGAAGCTCAACGGAGAAGCAGTGACCTTTTCAACAGACGGTGCTGAGTAGCTGTCTGTCCATATGCAAAAATAAAACAGAGAGCCCTGACCTAAATCTCACACGTTACATTCAAAAATTAAAATATGTTGTAGGTCTAAGGTCTAAAATGTAAAACTGTAAAGGTTTTAGAAGACATAGGAAATATTCTGGACAGCAGCATAGGCAGATAGTTCTTAGACATGACACAGAAAGTGAGATCCATAAAAGGGAAGATCTATATATCGGATTTAATCAAAACTAAACTTTTTTTTCTGCAAAATACACTATTAACAGAAGTTTTAATAAGCCACAGCCTATGAGAAAGTGTTTGCAATTTAGATAGCCAACAAAGGACTTGTATCCATGATACATGAAGAACTCAAAAGGCAGCAAAAAGGAAGCAAATCTAATTTTTAAATGGACAAAGGATTGAACAGACACTTTGCTAAAAAGGATATAAAGATGACAAATTAGGAGTGAAACGACAGTCCACATCATTCATCATTAGGGAAATGCAGGTTAAAACCATATCTAGTGGGATACATCTGCAGAACTATTAGAACATCTCAGATTTAAAGTGTCAGCCATAGCGAGTGATGCCAGCGACGTGGAGCAACTGGCACTCTTATGTTGCTTATGGTATCATCAGGAACGCAAGGGCTACAGCCGCTCTGGAGATTATTTCTGCAATTTCATATGAACCTGAAGACACACTTCACCACAGTACCTAGCAGTATGCCTCCTGGGTGTTCGTTCTAGAGAAACAAAAGAATTGTTCATACAGAAATCTGAATGTGAATGTTTATAGTGGTTCTAATGGTCCTCAAAAACCGGAAACAACCCAAACAGCCCTCAGCAGGCGAATGGGCGAAGGAGCTGTGATACGTTCACGAGTGTGCAGGCAGGCCTTGTTTGCTGTGCTTCACCGCACTACACTTTATAGATAACTGTGCTCATCTATAATCGAATGTTTGCGGCCACCCTGTGCTGTTAGATGGCTATCAGCGTTTTTTTAGCAACAAAGGTTTCTTTATATGAAGGAAATTTCTTTATTAATATAATCTACGATACTGTATTAGTTTCGGATGTGCAGCAGTGACTCAGCTTTCATATATGCATGTGAGTTCTTTTTCAGATACTTTTCCATTATAGGTTGTTACGAGATACTGAATATAGTTTCCTGTGCTATATAGTAGGTCCTTGTTGTTCACTCTTCATTATAGGTGCGTGTATGCTAATCCCAAACTCCTAATGTATCTCTCCCTCTGCTTTCCCCTTTGGTAACCATGAGTTTTTTTTTTACTGCCATCCTCTTCATTTCTGTTTTGTAAATACGTTTGTTTTTTTTTGGTATCATCTTTTAGACTTCATATGTGATATATAGTATTTGTCTTTCTCTGTCTGACTTACTTCACTTAATATGACAATCTTCAAGTCCATCCATGTAGCTTCAAATGGCATTATTTCATTCTTTTTTATGGCGGAGTAGTAGTCCACTGCATTTGTGTACTGCATTTTCTTTATCCATTCATCTGTTGATGGACAGTTAAGTTGTTGCCATGTCTTGGTGATTGTGAATACTGCTACTATAAACATAGCGGTGCATGTATCTTTTAAAATTAGAGTTTCCTCTAGATATGCCCAGAAGTGGGATTGTAGGATCACATGGTAACTCTATTCTTAGTTTTTTAAGGAACTTCCATGCTGTTCTCCATAGTGACTGTTATTAGTTTATATTCTGACCAACACCCTCTTTAGTATTTCTTATTTGTAGACTTTCTGGTGATGGTCATTCTGACTGGAGTGAGGTGAGGTGATTCCTCATTGTAATTCTTTGATTTGCATTTCTCCAGTAGTCAGTGATATGGAGCATCTTTTCATGTGCCTGTTAGCCATTTGTACATCTCTTTGGAGAAATGTCTGTTTAGGCCTTCTGCCTGTGTTCTAATTGTTTTTTTCTTTTTTTGTATTAAGCTGTATGATCTGTTTGTATATTTTGGAAATTAAACCCTTGTTGGTAGCAGCATTTGTGAATACTTTCCCGTAGTCTTTTTGTTTATGTTTTTCTTTGCTATGCAAAGGAAAGCTTTTAAATTTAATTAGGTACCATTTTTTTATTTTTGTTTTTTATTTCCATTACTCTAGGAGATAGATCCAAGAAAATATTGTGTGATTTCTGTCAAAGAGTAGCCTATATTTTCCTCTAGTTTTATAGTATCTGGTCTTAACATTTAGGTATTTAACCCATTTTGAGATTTTATTTTTCTGTATGGTGTTAGGGAATGTTCTTATTCCATTCTTTCACATACAGCTGTCCAGTTTTCCCAGCGCCACTTTAGTGAGGAGCCTGTCTTTCCTCTACTGTGCGTTTTTGCCTCCTTTGTCATCGATTAAGTGGCCATAAGTGTGTGCATTTATTTCTGGGCTTTCTGACCTTTTCCTTTGATCTATCTGTCTTGATATATAACTATCAAATAAATATAAATCAAAACTGTTTTGATTGCTATATCTTTGTATTAATAGTATAAAGTATTTTTAAATTAAGGTGTGTACATTTTTTTAAAGACACGTTGCTATTGCACACTTAGAAGACTGAAGTATAGTGTAAGCGTAGCTTTATGCTCGCTGGGAAACCTAACAACGGCTGTGATCTGCCACGTGGCCCAGTGATAAGGAACCTGCCTGCCAGTGCAGGAGATGCAGGTCTGACCCCTGAGTCAGGAAGAGCCCCTGGAGAAGGGAATGGCAGCCCACCCCAGTATTCTGGCCTGGGAAAATCCCATGGACGGGGCGCCCATGGGGTCACAGGGTCAGAGATGGCTGAGCACGCACAGGCAGGCACGCTTGATTTCAGTCCTTTATGGCAGTGGTATGGAACCGAGTCTGCAGCGTTTCCCAGGTCGGCCCGTATTTGTTATTCAGCAGTAAAAACAGATGAGCTGTCGATGCACACAGCAGCGTAGGTGAATCTCAGGGGCGTTATGTGTGTGAAAGAAGCCAGTCTCATTTATGCCACAGTCTGGAAGACAGAAATACAGCTATAGAAACAGATCAGTGCTTGATGGGCTAGAGCGGGGAAGGGTGGGAGCAGAAAGGGATAGCAAAGTGGGGTTTGGGGTGCTAACAGGACAGTCCAGTATCTTGCTTTTGGTGGTAGTTGCGCTTCTCTATGTGTGTGTTAAAATTCATTGAATTGTGTAACCAAAAAAAAAAAAAACCTGTTACTGGAAGATAATTTTAAAAACTAAAAGATTTCTAAACCTACAGCAGCATTAAAAATATATTCTTAGGTTTTACACGGCACATTGTGTCAGTTTAGACACATTTCCAGCTGCTTGCCTTAGCGTTTCCATTGTAAATGTATCCTGTCACATTTTTACCCTGCGACCTTCTGTGTCCTTCCTTTGGTGTGGCCTGGGCTACCTCATTTCTTTTTAGATTCCCTTTGGATTTTCCCCTTACTATCTCCAGGTTGTATCCTGAGCTGTTAACACACGCCCTGGGGCGGGAGCTCGGTGTTAAAGGAGCTCAGCCACCCCCGCCTGGCCCGCAGTGCCACGTGTTCCCTCCGGCCGTCGGCTGCCCACGTGACCTGGACCTGGTCCTGGTCTGTAGCTCCTTGCTTGGTTTCATGGCTCATTGACACTTCAGTGAAGGAACTTATTCTAAGAAGCTGCAGAAAATCTCCAAGTGGCATTGCTTGAATGCACATCCTAATTGTGCTGCCTGCTCCACTCTGCCCAGTGGAAGTTGCAGGCAGCCTTTATGAAGTCAGGTTTTTCTTGGAACTCTTCTCAGGTGGCTGTTTTCTTCCTGAGGATTTGTCTTTATTAAGCTATTAGAGTGGACAATAGAGGCGTGTCAGTGTCTGGGTGGCAGCAGGCTGCTCTGCTGGGATGTGGAATAATGTGCCATAAACGTCTTCCTCTATTTTATCTACTTTGGCTCAAGCTCCTGGCAGGGTAAAGGGTTCTAGACAGCTATTGTGTGCTGGGCTCCAGTCGCTGTGAAGAAGTTGTTTATTTCACAAGTAGAAAATCTATACCCAGATTAGATACATCGCCATGTAATTGGAGGTAATGTCCCTTTACGCGCTTCCATTTTATACTCTACAGTACCTTTAAGTTTCGTGTTCCTGCTACCCTGGCGGTTTTTATTGATCAACAAAAGACAAAGATGGCTTTTGATTCCTTCCAGATGCTAGCAAATTAGCAGATAGATCTGAAGATCATCTTGTCACTAAGGACAGGCTTCTTGAGTATTATCTTTCCCTGGGGCACCTTTTCTTGCCAACTTTAGGGTTGAAAATACTCTGGTTTCTAAAAACAATAACCTAAAGGCTTTGCTTGTTGTCATCACTAACCACGCTGAAGGTGACCGTTGGATAGAATGTCTTCTCTCCTGTTTCTTAGCCTCTTCTACTCTTCGATTCTTACAGATAAAGAGAAATATATAGGCAAGCAAGAAGGGGAGGGGGGTTAGAGAGGGATTAACGCTGCTGTCGTCATTAGGTTGAGCCTCTTCTGGTTTCTGTTTTCGAGACTTGTAAGGAAAAGGAGCATTTTAAAAGAACATGGTAGCCAGTGTTGCAGTTCCTAGATTTTAGTTATTCCTAATGGAATGTGCCCTTGCTGCTAGTTTCTTCTGTCAAGAATGAAAACCCACTTACCATCCTTCATGTAAAAATCTCCTATATATTTAAAATAGTTAAGAATATTTAAGTTCAGTTACCACCCCCATCCCCCCACCCCCCACTCAGAGGGAGGATTTCCATTCATTTAGCAGTTCTTGACCAAATGATTTTCATTTTTTCTTATATTTTTTTTCTAAATTTTAACTCTTTGAGTGATAGAGCCCCAAATTAAATTCATATCCAAAAGTACTTACTGAGTACTTGTCGGGCAGGGTGCTGGGTGAGTGCTCAGGGTTGGTCTTCAGAATCCTTAGGAGGGAGTCCACTCAGTTGATTTGATCAGGAATGCTCCTCACATAGGTTTCTTGATTCTTTCGGTGACAGGAGAGAAGGAGGCAGGCGCCTCTGCGTCTCTTCTTCTGTTACAGCCCCGTGACCAGAACACCCTCCACGTGGCACTTGCTGCTGGGGGCCTCCCCACGGTGTCTTGCGATGCCCACCGCACCCCAGGGGCAGTGAGCAGGCGGGGGCGGGGGCCCATTGTCCAGGTGCGGAAGCAGAGGCTCTGAGGAGCGCACGGGCTTGCTGACTTCTAGTGACCCCTCGGTCAACGTGTTTTTCTCCAAACTAGGGGTTCTCAACACTGCCAGATCCAGTGCCCCCTTCCATTTCCAAAATGAAATTCAGAGTTCATGTAATCAAGTACATTAAAAAAAAAAAATCATCAGTTCAGTTCAGTCGCTCAGTCGTGTCCAACTCTTTGCAACCCCATGAACTGCAGCACGCCAGGCCTCCCTGTCCAACAGGGAGCCCACCACGGAACAACTCCCGGAGCCCACCCAAACTCATGTCCATTGAGTCGGTAATGCCATCCAACCATCTCATCCTCTCTCGTCCCCTTCTCCTCCTGCCTTCAATCTTTCCCAGCATCAGGGTCTTTTCAGATGAATCAGCTCTTCGCATCAGGTGGCCAAAGTACTGGAGTTTGAGCTTCAGCATCAGTCCTTCCAGTGAACACCCAGGACTGATCTCCTTTAGGATGGACTGGTTGGATCTCTTTGCAGTCCAAGGGACTCTCAAGAGTCTTCTCCAGCACCACAGTTCAAAAGCATCAGTTCTTCGGTGCTCAGCTTTCTTTATGGTCCAACTCTCACATGCATACATGACTACTGGAAAAACCATCGACTTGACTAGACGGACCTTTGTTGGCAAAGTAATCGCTCTGTTTTTTAATATGCTGTCTATACAAAGTATAATACAAAGGAGAAGCAAAGGAAAGTGATCCATAATCAGACTGTGCTTCAGCATAGAAATAAATGGTGAGTGACATGAAAATCACTCAAGTCATGTCTGACTCTTTGTGACCCCATGGACTATATAGTCCATGGGATTCTCCAGGTCAGAATACTGGAGTGGGCAGCCTTTCTCTTCTCTAGGGGATCTTCCAACTCAGGAATTGAACCCAGGTCTCCTGCATTGCAGGGGGATTCTTTACCAGCGGAGCCACAAGGGAAGCCCAGGAAATGGTGGGGCATGTCTAAACTAGAAGGTAGCATGAGGCAGTCAGTCAGGTTTCTGCTCCTCAGCATAGGATCACCATGTGTGAATACATGTCTGCAAATGCAGATGGCGCACAGCCGTCGCCCGGCGACAGGACCACCCATGCATACTGCACACTCAGGTGCGGTTTTCTAGAACAGTGAACATGCTTGGTAAAGTTCTGGACACAACACCATACAATCTACATGGCGGTAACATTCTGGAAAATTCAGGTGATGTTCAGTCAGTTCAGTTCAGTCGCTCAGTCGTGTCTAGCTCTTTGCGACCCCATGAATCGCAGCACGCCAGGCCTCCCTGTCCATCACCAATTCCTGGAGTCTACCCAAACCCGTGCCCATCGAGTCAGTGATGCCATCCAGCCATCTCATCCTCTGTCGTCCCCTTCTCCTCCTGCCCCCAATCCCTCCCAGCATCAGGGTCTTTTCCAATGAGTCAACTCTTCGCATGAGGTGGCCAAAGTACTGGAGTTTCAGCTTCAGCATCAGTCCTTCCAATGAACACCCAGGACTGATCTCCTTTAGGATGGACTGGTTGGATCTCCTTGCAGTCCAAGGGACTCTCAAGAGTCCTCTCCAACACCATAATTCAAAAGCAGGTGAAGTTAGATCCATGCAAATACTGCTTTCAGTTTTTTTAATAAAATGAGTTAGGGTCTAGTCTCAGATCCTTGCGAACTGGTTTCACCTCCATGAATGTCCCGTGGATCGTTCAGAAAGACATCATGCAGGGCAGCCCCTGTGTGTTGCAGATTGTGGTGTGCTGTCAGACCAGCTCTCTGACATTTGTTGTATCTGCAGATTTCCGTGGTGTGAGTGCCCCCCATAGGGCTGGCATCAAACTACCAGCAGAAACTGGCCCACGGAACTCCTGCCGGTTTAGCCATCTGCTTAGTAGGAGCAGCTTTGGGACACCCCTGACTTCACATCCAGCATCTCAGGCCCCGCCCTCTAAATGCCAGCTGGGTCCCTCAGATCCCGCTTACAGCCTCCAGAATGCCGCCCTCAGGGCAGAGTGCCCCCCTGGAGAGCCAGCGCGTGCAGCCCCGACAGTCACCCTGCTTTAGGTGTCCTCACCCAGGAGCAGCCCCTTTGCCTGCAGGGGTGGGAGTGGTCCTCGCCTCATGCTTCCAGGCTGTCCCCTGGGCCCAGGGCCTCTCTGCACAAGCCAGCATGTGGCAGAGTCCCTGAGGCGGGCCTCCTTGTCTGCATCCGGCGTGGCTGTGCTGCCTGCGTCACGAAGGTGGACGCGCAAACGGCCTGGGGAACGCGCGAGTGGAATCTTCACGGCCCTGCGGCAGCTGTGAGTGAGTAAAGATGGCCTAGAAACCGATAGATGCGCCGGGGGCGGACGCTCAGCCTTACGACGGGCGAGCGTTTGGTGTCAGGACTTTGCCGCAGAGAACTGAAGGCTCTTCTCTGTCCCCTGCAGTGCACCCTGGACTCCGAGGTGGCTGTCAGAGTCGGGGGGGAGTTCTTCTTTGACCCGAAGCCCGAAGACGCCTCCAGAAACCTCGTGTTGATCGCAGGAGGCGTCGGGATTAACCCCCTGCTTTCCATCCTGCGACACGCGGCCGACCTCCACGGAGAATGGGCGCGCAAGGGGCGGGGGTGTGAGATGGGGACAGTCAGACTGCTCTACAGTGCGAAAGACACCAGCGAGCTCCTGTTCAAGGTAGGGAGCGTCTTGTGTCTCGATTAGCTGGCCGTGAGCAGGCTCGTGGCCCGGGCCTGCCTTCTCTCCACCGCTCTTCTCTGCAGCAGCTCAAGCCAGAGGCTTGAAAGGCTGAGCCCTGTTCCAGTGAGGATTAACCGACGCATCCTATCCTGCCCAAAACTATCAAAAAAGCTAGTGCTAAGGAGCCTCCCAGTGCAGTCACAGAAGAGGGCGGGTCTGGTGGGCTTGAGTCTGGAGGTGGGTGAGCAGAAAATTCAGCCTGCCTCGGGCTCCCCAGAGGGTCAGGAGGCCTGCGAGTGGGCCTGGGTGCCCCGGGAGTAGGTGAGACCCAGCTCAGTACGTGAAACCCCCATCGGCTGCATCTGCAGGAACCGAGTCCATCTGACAGGAGAAGGCTTTCGCTCTGGGTGCTTTGCAGCTGCAAGGACGAACAAAAGAACAGAAACAGTTAAAAGACGCAACTGTGGTCAGTGAAACTGCTGCTTAATTGCCCACGCCTGAGAGAAAAGAAAAAAGGAAGAACTCCTGGAGAGTTAGTAATATGCTTGTTAGCATATTCAGATTTCAATTAAAGGCAAATAGCCCCCTGCACTCAGATTGCTCTGGCCTGCCCGGCTGCAAACAATGCCTCTCTAAGTGGAGAGCCAAGCAGCGGACGTGTGCAGAATCATCAGTGAAGCTTCGGCGTCCGGGGGGTGCACATCTGTTTTGATTTTTTAAGATTGTTGTGTGACCAAATACGTTTGACATTCCAGAAAAATATCCTCGATCTAGTAAATGAATTTCCTGAGAAGATTGCATGCAGTTTCCATGTTACAAAACAGACTACACAAATCAGTGCAGACCTCAGGCCATACATCACGGGTGAGTCTCCTAAAAGGTATTTTGACTGTCTCATGACATTACTGTGTGGACGTACCAGTTGGTTGAGTGTAAATGCTTTATTGTTGGGAGTTTCTGGCTGGGAATGTCACTACCTGGGGGACTGAGAGATGATTCATCATGGAAACATAAGGAGAGATTAGTTGTGTTCACTTATTATATACAGATCTCCTGCTGCCTATATTAAAAATTTATTTTCTGCATTTTTTTAGGGGACCTTTGCGTCATTGCTGTAATAATGCATACAGAGAATTTATCCTCCAGCTTTGACTGAATCAGTTCCATTTGCCATTAATAGTAATTTAAATTTCTCGTGGTTCCCCCTCCTGGAAGGATTTCTCACAAAGCAGTTTAGTTACTTTGCTGAAGGCAGTTTTGAATCTGCCCCAAAGACCAGCATGCTGCCCGGCCCCGTCTGGAGAGTTCGTGGTGACCAGTTGCCCGCGTTGCTCGCTGTGGCTTCAGGAAGCCTGGAGACACGCTGTCCGCTGGGGTCCAGCGTGCATGACTCAGGGCGCAACCTCTGGGCCCAGTTTTTGAAAATAAACTCTGTTGCCGAGCTGTGGTCGGTCCTTCCTCTTTTCAGTACAAACATATGTGGCTTAACTTGGTGTTTATTCTGTGCTTTCGGCAGAAGGAAGAATAACGGAGAAGGAGATAAGGGATCACATTTCAAAAGAGACCTTGTTCTACATTTGTGGTCCACCTCCCATGACAGACTTCTTCTCCAAGGAGCTGGAGAGCAGCCGCGTCCCCAGAGAGCACATCTGCTTTGAGAAGTGGTGGTAGGGGCGGGCGGGGCCGGGAGAAGGAGGCAGACAGAGGCCCCTGAGGCCGGACACGCAGGATGCTCTGTGGTTTGGGCCCATGATTTACCTCTGCGCACTCTTATTTTTTAAGGCTGTGGACTCTGCCCAGTTGGACAAACAAGAAAAGTCAACTGACAGACTTAAATGATAAACTTGTTGCAAAAACTTCATTAATTAAACTGATTTTTACTACATTGACTTTCTCTTATGAATAACTGATTATCTCATGGTGTACCTTGAATTGGTCAATATATATTTTCTTTCCCCTTAAGGGAAAAAAGACATATCCTTCAAGCATGTGAAAACACAGGTTTTGTGTGTGAAATGTAGGTTCTTTAAATTATTTGACAGCCACCTATGTATCTTTTGTTGAATAAACTTAATTGTAATTTCATTTGAAATTGTTTCTCTTTAATGTCTTAGTTTACTTTCTTGTGGCCTGCAGCCTCCTTTGTGCAGACTGTTAAAGTTGGGTTTGGAAATAGAAAGCTGTTAGGAAAACTGTTTTAGGGCATTGAATGTCCAGCATATTTGCTTTCTGTTAATGAATATCCGAAGTATGTATCCTGACTGAGTTTCTTCTCAGATGAAACCTTTTTTGAGGCCCGTGTCTTGGCTGTCTGTCTCAGCGCCCACGTGGGAGGCGGCTTCTCTTTCAGGACCAAGGCGACGATGGGTGCTGTGTCCTCTGTAATTCTGCCCTCAGTGGCTGGGCTTGACGGGCTGCGGAAGTGTGCTCAGGATTGATCAGGGATGCAGAGCTGATTCCAAGTCCTGCTGCGCGGCCTCGTATTTCATTCTTTGTCCAGGGTTGTTCCTGGCTCCGCGGCTTCTCACATACCTGTTGAGTGGCAGAAAGAAAGCAGCTACCATTTAAGCTCTTGCTAAGCCTGGGGTCAGGAAGTGGTCCCCAGAGTGGGAGGAGAGAGTGGCGAGCCTTATTCAAGGCTGCTCTGGGGGAACCGCTAGAAAGAAGACTGTATTCCTTATCTTTGTGTAGATTTTTTAAAATCTGAGGGAATTCCCCAGGCTTAGGGCAGACGTTCTTTTCTGTGACAAGGACCACGGCCGGCTTCTTGGAGAACCTCATGAGGCGTGTGTGGTCTGGGAAGAGAGGCAGACCAGTGCTGGAGGTGCAGGGACCATGGGGAGTTCAGTCCTCAGCTGAGGAGAGAGGGCAGGGGCCTTTCTCCTCTCCAGGCAGGTCTCGGGGACTCCAGGGCGTAAACACATCATTGATCTGTGGGGCCTCGTGATGGCTGGCATCACCGCGCTAGCTTCGACTAGGATGTTTTGAATCTTGTTATGTTTTAAGCAGAGATCATTGGTCACCTATTTCAATCCCAGATTTGATTTCACTAGGAGCAAAGAAGAACTAAAAAGCGTCTTAATGAAAGTGAAGAGGAGAGTGATAAGGTTGGCTTAAAGCTCAACATTCAGAAAACTAAGATCATGGCATCCAGTCCCATCGCTTCGTGGGAAATAGATGGGGAAACAGTGGAAACAGTGGCTGACTTTATTTTGGGGGGCTCCAAAATCACTGTAGATACTGACTGCGGCCATGAAATAAAAAGACGCTTACTCCTTGGAAGGAAAGTTATGACCAACCTAGACAGCATATTAAAAAGCAGAGACATTACTTTGCCAACAAAGGTCCGTCTAGTCAAGTCGATGGTTTTTCCAGTGGTCATGTATGGATGTGAGAGTTGAACTATAAAGAAAGCTGAGCGCCGAAGAACTGATGCTTTTGAACTGTGGTGTTGGAGAAAACTCTTGAGAGTCCGTTGGACTGCAAGGAGATCCAGCCAGTCCATCCTAAAGGAAATCAGTCCTGAATGTTCATTGGAAGGACTGATGTTGAAGCTGAAACTCCAAATACTTTGGCCACCTGATGTGAAGAGCTGACTCACTGGAAAATACCCTGATGCTGGGAAGGATTGATGGCAGGAGGAGAAGGGGACAAGAGAGGATGAGATGGTTGGATGGCATCACTGACTCAATGGACATGAGTTTGAGTAAACTCCAGGAGTTTGTGATGGACAGGGAGGCCTGGCGTGCTGCGATTCATGGGGTCCGAAAAGGGTCCGACACAACTGAGCAACTGAACTGAACTGAGGAGCAAAGGGGGACCTGTGACCCGCTGTGAACATCAGGGTCCGTTCAGGGCGGTGGTCGGCACTGTTCAGAGGTGGAGGGCACACGGGGAGCTCTGGCTCCTTGGAGCCCTGAGTCAGGAGGCCCCGAGTGTCCAGGCCGCGGGCTGGGCCCGAGGGCCGCGCAGTCAGGAGGCCGAGGAGCGGGTGAGGGAGGGGTGGGGATGGGGGCGGCGTGCTCCGCCCCGGCCCTGGCGGCCCCGGGAGGAGATGCCCAGTGCAGGGGGCCGCCCCGGGCCTCTCTGTGCCCGCCCAGGGGTGCTGGGACGTCTGCAGCGCGGCCTGGGGCAGGCTGTCAGAGAACAAAGGCCACCCACCCTGGGGCGCCCAGCTCTGCCCGGCACCTGCCCGCGACAGCTTACGGCGAGCTGCGGGGCCGGATCTGTGGTCTCCGAAGACTAACCTCCGGGACCAGAGGCCGTCTCATTCACCAGAGCCTTGGGTAGATGTTCATCGAAAGTGAAAGTGACAGATAAAGCTGCTGACAGGGACATCAGAAGGGGGTAGAAGGAGTATCCACCCCCAGTTTTAAGCAGGGCATTGGATACTTCTCAGCTAACTGCTGAGAACAGAGAAAGAGAGTGCCTCGAGGTGGTAAGAGCTCCCCCAGACCCTCCCCCAAGGCAGACATCCTGAGCTAACCTCGGAGACTAGCCAAGGAGAACAGGCCCTGGGCTGTGTCATCAGGGGGAGAATCAGGGGACTAAGTCTTGAGAAACAGGCAAGATTCGCTACAATGACAGCCGTTAACATAGAGCCTGAGAAAAGCATTTCCATGAGTAAGACCTTGTGCAGTATGATCCTTAGCTCCTAAAGAAAGGCCAGCTCTCGGGCAAGACCCACCGCTGCACACTGCTTAAGGAAAACATGAGCGAGAATGTTCACCTCCTCCTGGAAGGGCCCCGGACTCCCCCCCCGAGTTAACTCTCACCAGCTGCTCGCTCCCTGGCACCGGCTGTAAACCCCTGCGGGGCCAGGTCGTGACCTTTGCCTGCACGGCAGGTCCTTCCAGCTATGTCCTTTCAGGCGATGAACACGGAATGGTGCTTCTGGCCCGCTGCTCGAGGATATCCGTTTGCCCTTGCCAGCCAGGGCAGTCAGGATCCCTCTGGGAGCTCCTAGCTCCGTCTCGGGTAAGTGCAGCCCGCGTGGCTTGGAACTGATGGTGTGGTGGCTGAGAACGGCGGCTGGGAAGAGCCCTGAGCCAGACTGCTGGGGTTCGCATCTCAGCTCCGCCCTGTGCCGGGTGGGTGACCCAGAGCTCGTCGCTGACCTGCGCGATGCCCCGGGTTGTGATTACACAGGTGCGGGCACGGAATTGTGCCACCTCCCTCGCGGGGCCTTCACGGGACTGAAGGTGATGGTCCACAGGGAGGGCTCGGCAGGGCAGCGCGTGAACCCAGCCTGCTGTATCCTCGTGCGGCGTGACTCTGCGTTTCCTTTTCCTGTTCAGGATGTGAGATGTGAGAGGCTGGACAGCCCGGGGTTCGTCCGCCGGCCTGGAGCCTGCCCGTGAGGAGGGCTCTGCCTTGCTCAGAGCTCTCCAGAGCGTGAGATGGGCACTTAGTAGATAGTTCTTACGTGGGTGAGACGGCCTTCCCAGAGCTGGCGAACTGGGCCCTGTTTTGTCTTGTTTTTATTATTTATTGGCTACACCTGGAGAAGGCAGCGGCCACCCGCTCGGTGTTCTTGCCTGGAGAGTCCCACGGGCAGCAGAACCTGGCGAGCTACCATCCCTGGGGTCGCACGGAGTCGGCCACGACCCAGCCACTAACCCCCCCACACACACACATTGGCGCCACCAGGTCTTATCTGGGCTCCCCTGGAGCCTCAGCAGTAAAGAATCCGCCCCCCTCAGTGCAGGAGACGTGAGCTTGATCCCTGGGTTGGAAAGATCCCCTGGAGAAGGAAATGGCAGAGACACCAAAGTAGAGAAGGCAGTAGAATTAACTCAGATCCATCACCCACGTCCTTGATTACCAGCATGCTCTGGTCTGTTTTTGTCTGTCCTCAATTTCTTGGGTTTTGATGTTTCAGGAGTACCTTGAAGCAAACCCTAGAAATCATAGCTGTAAATTCTTGAGCAGGTAACAGCCGTATCACCTCAGCACGACCATAGAGCTATCGTCATACCAGCACAAATAACAATGACCGCTTACTGTCGCCTGAGACGTCACTGTTTTCCCTACATTGTCCTCCCCACATTGCCTCGAAGTCCACATCTCGCAATTCGGTTGGTGTCTCCTGGGAGCGTCTTTCAATCCACAGTCCCCTCTCCCCTCCCCACACTCATGTCCAGACACTGCTGAAGAAGCCGGGTCGTGTGTCCTGCGGACTTCCCCACGTTGTGAACCCAGCCCGCGGTGTCCTTAGGTGTGGTTGAACATGGCCCGCTCTGCTGTATATCACATAAACTGGGAAGTAGATCTGGAGCTTATTTACATTCAGACTCAAGATTTCTTTTTCTTTTGCAAGGCCACATCATGAGTGGTGTTAACGTATTTCTGTTGCATCCTGAGGTGGTACCTAATGTCTGTCCCGCTTTCAGTGTTTTTAAGATTGATCGGTGGGTTCAGCTTCTGTCAGCCTGATGCCCCTGGCTATAAAGTTCTCTATCAGCCTTTCACCCAAGTTATCTTAGCAGCGGTTGATCTTTGTGTGCTATTTCATTAAGGACTAACTGCCCATTTCTATCATCTGGCCTGCATTTATTGCCCATGATTCTTCTACAAAGAACTTGCCCTCGTCGACTTTGCCCTGAAATGAGTCTGAATTGGAAAGGTGGGATCAGCGCTCCATTCTTTCTCTTCGTTTACCAACTGACCTG